CTAAAAATTACTTGTCAGTTTATATGAAGTGGATCAAACGCTGGCTTTTTGCTCTCTTTTAATGAGAGTGACGAAGTCAAAGCTTCGTCACCGCACTCGAGCTTCATGATTCTGTTTCTTCAGCAACGCAATAACGGAAATGCTGCCACCGCTGACAACGCGAGTTTTTTCACCATTTACTATCTAAATGTGAATGTTTTTTTTTCCGCCATTCACTATCTAAATTTCTGTTTGCTCGGCAAAAAATAACGGAAACGCTGGCACCGCCCGCGTTTCCCGGGTTGCCCTCGCTGAAGAGACGAGGTAAATAATTCGCACTTACGAATCATTCGCTATAGATACGAGTAAACTGGTAGGTATAAAGTTCGGTAAATTATACATCGACTGCTTTAAAAAAACATTAGCTTAAAAAGAATTCATGCGTATAATAACCTTGACTAATATAATTTAAGCGTCCGCAAAAATTAACCCAGAGAGAATGCGACCACATTATTATTCATCAAATATAATAATTCTTTTGCCGCTAGAAGATTTAAGTTGTTGGGTGTACGAAGGCTGATAGTCATATCGTACATTCTCTAACATTATTCTTTTTCAGATTGAATACCAGTTAAACGTAGCTGATCAACACGGCTTCACTTTATATACAAATCGATTTAAGTTATCTTCGCAGCTCCTATTTGTTAAAAAATATTTATTCGACAATTATTCTTTCCATAAATAATTTAAAAAGCAATAAATTTACTGTTTATGTCGGNGTCGTCCTACGTACGATATCGTAAGATGTCTGTAAGAAGCAATGAATATACCGTAATGTCGGGTCGTCCGACGTACGATATCGTAAGATGTCTGTAAGAGAAATGAATATACCGTAATGTCGAGTCGTCCGACGTACGAAAGCGTAAGATGTCTGTAAGAATGTCGAGTCGTCCGACGTACGAAGTCGTCCGACGTACGATATCGTAAGATGTCTGTATGCACGCGACGTCGGACCTCATTACGGGCCTGAGATGCGAGACACGGCGATATGCGAGGCTCGTGGCCCCGGCCCGAATGTGGACTTGAATACGGAGGAGGGAATGTCACGAGTATCAGGGGAACATGTAACTGGTATGGTATAACTGCTGACTGATGTACAGTAGAACATGAGAAGAAAACATGTGCTCTAGAACTGTGACTTGAATACGGAAGAGGAAATGTCACGAGTATAAACTTGGGGAACATGTAACTGGTATGGTAGAGTTGCTGACTGAAGTACAGTAGAACATGAGAAGAAAACATGTGCTCTAGAACTGTGACATGAATACGGAAGAAGGAAATGCCACGAGTATCAGGGGAACATATAACTGGTATGGTAGAACTGCTTACTGATGTACATTAGAACATGAGAAGAAAACATGTGCTCTAGAACTGTGACTTGAATACGGAAGAGGAAATGTCACGAGTATAAGGGGAACATGTAACTGGTATGGTAGAGTTGCTGACTGAAGTACAGTAGAACATGATAAGAAAATATGTGTTCCAGAACTGTGACTTGAACACATGTTCTAGAACATGAGATTCAGAGAATATATGACTAAAATATATGAGTGATGCCGTGTGCTCTTTGATTACTTCATTTTTACACAATAAAATGTAAAACCTTTCAGTTGACATCATCTAACTGGGTCTAAGGATTTTGAAGTGGGTTTTAATCTGCAGATGTCGAGTGGATACAAAAAAATGTTACGAGCTTACACTTACGCATTTTTTATAAAACTTTTTTATAACTTAATATAAATTGAATTCGGATTACTACTTAAATTTTACTAGAACAAAACTAAAAAAACATTGTAATTTCACGACTATTTTTACGTCATATAATAGCAAAATCTCATCAAAATTCTGATCAGTATTTTAAATTATGAACAATGAGCTCCGGCTTTGTTTTGTTTGCTTGATGCGATAGGGGCTCCCAGTAATGAACAAAAACAAGCTCGATGCAGCGATATTTTTGGCCCATAAAGATTTTCGCAAGGGAAAAATGTTGTGAGCAAACGTTGCTTTCGCTCAAATCGAATGGAAACCATCGTGCACAGTTTTTAGAGCCTGCATTTGCCTTCTTTTTATTCCTTGCCGCCTCAATCCCGCTAATTAGTTGGCGTCGGATTGAAGTCGTGAGAAACGGTGGATAAAATTTCTTTGCCTAATTACTGCCTCGTGTCACCTGCAAACTCTGCAGCATGGCTTGTGAAAAGGTAAGCGTAGGATACAATAAAATTGGCTGCTCGGCTTGTGAAAAGGTAAGCGTGGGTTACGATGAAATGCATCCTCAAATATTTCAATTGGACTGCTTGTATTCGACCTAAAAAGTGTTTGGAATTTAGCATATTTTTGCGTAAAAATTACCTGCAAGGTAAAATGCACGCGCTTCTAGGGAGCAGTAAATAATTTCAGAATAACTCTTTTCTTCTGGCAGGAATTTCGAGGAATATTTAAAGTGAGAAACAGCTGGCAACAAAAGGCTGAAAAGAAAATTGAGACTAAACTGTATATCGTTATTTATGCGTTTGGAGGAGTCCAGGGTTTAGCGAGCGAGGGTGAAAGATCTATCGTGAATTATATTGAAAATACTGAGCTCTTTCAAACAATTTTAATGCTCATGTTATTGAACCAATGCGGTTTTCAATGTTCCAACCAGATGCCGCAAAAAATTTTATTTGAAATTCAGAGTTTTTTATGACGAGCATTGCACTTTTTTAGCTTGTATATTTAACTGCAGAAGTCGCATGCGTGCTCTTTTTTGTAGCCTGCAGCTTTAGGGGCAACGCTGCGTTCTCATAACTAGAGGACCAGCGTAAGATCAAGGAGGCTGAAGGTAGCAAATGAAGCGCTCAAGAGCAGGTCGTAGGAGCTCGTCTCCCTAAAATAATGACATTGCCGGCGGCCTCCCATCGAGGTGCTTCAAAAGAAAGTATAATAATGCAGGCGGCTCGCAGCTCAAACTCTACGGGGCTTCAAAGCCTTGTTTCATGAGATGCTAGCGCACCGCTGCTTTAGACCTCAAGCATCAAGCACTTTGTTTTGATGAACTTAAGTAGGCTCAGCTAGAGCTTTATTCAACGTTATGGTCGCTGTAATGTGTTATTATATAGAGTCTATTGCATTATGGTGGCTTTCAAAGCGGGATTATATTTCTTAACTACGCTTGTCATTTAAAATAGAGAATATACTAAGGAGAAATTAATTTGTTTAGATTAGGCAAGTTGCTTCTCATGAGCACTAATGAAATATGGTGATAATCCCTCGCGTAATTCGTTCTCGTATAGGTTGTTATAGAATTCCGAGCTAATCTTGATGTTGGGTGATTAATGTTCCAGCAAAAGAATAAAACTTAAAAAATTAAGAACCATAAAAAAATGATACCGTACCTTCCGTTTTTTGCAACGTCAGCTTACTGAGAAAACAATTTTTTCGTTTTATTCGTATAGGTTTTCAAGACATCTTAAAATTAACCCTAGATATTTTATTAGCTTAATCATGTAAATTTCATGCATTCCGCAGTGACCTAACACAGCATAGGCTTTTTGTGGCGTCGTTGCCTGTACGCAAAGAGAGACGAACTGCGGCAAATTCGAGCCTCGGCTTTGATGGCTGCAAAGCACGCGACGTCGGACCTCATTACGGGCCTGAGATGCGAGACACGGCGATATGCGAGGCTCGTGGCCCCGGCCCGAATGTGGACTTGAATACGGATAGAACTGTGACTTGAACACATGTTCTAGAACATGAGATTCAGAGAATATATGACTAAAATATATAACAAGATGACACGTGTCTAGAACACATGTTCTCGGACATTTGAATAAGAAAACAAATTAATGGGAGAAGGAAATAATATGTGACTATAATACGGTAGTAGAACACCATCATTTAAAAGTTATAACTTTTTCAAAGTTTGCAAGTCAATCTTATCTTGGATACATTGCCAGGCTTTCCCTATCTCAGCTGTGAGCGACAGTTGTGATGGCAAAAACTGCTCAGACCTGCGCTCGACGGTTGAGAAAAAAAATGTACAAAAATAAGCATATACGAACTTATCGGTAAAGCAACGGCTAAGAATAGCCAGTGAAAGCTGTCGTAAACTTATCGATGGATAAGCAGATAGGAGTAGCCAGCGTAAGCTGGCATGATCTTATCGATGGGAGAAGCGGATAAAATAGCCAGTGTGTGTCAGCTGGTAAAATAAAATCGGCTGCATGCAGTTAACAAATAAAATCACTGCATGTAGTTAACAAATAAAATCACTGCATGTAGTTAACAAATAAAATCACTGCATGTAGTTAACAAATAAAATCACTGCATGTAGTTAACAAATAAAGTAACTGCATGTAGTTAACAAATAAAGTAACTGCATGTAGTTAACAAATAAAGTAACTGCATGCAGTGAATGAATAATATCTTTGCATTCAGTTAATAAATAAAATCACTGCATGTAGTTAACAAATCAAATCGAAATTTACGAATAAAAATTAGTATATATAACGGCAAAGAGCCGTAATACATGATTATTTAATTTTAATTTTTAGTTTTAATATTTAGCAGGAACAGCAACATGCTTATGGAAGTAAGCGAAAAGGAATTACAATATATCATTCGCACCAGCAACATTAGAACTATCATCATAATTTATATTCTCCTGTAACTTTGCTAATGTTGCGGCGGTATAATCATATCATGATTATTGCTGCAGGACTAAAGAACATTTTTATTCTCTAAAATATCATCGTGCCGGGAGATTGCAGATAAAATTTGTGCGATGAAAGGCTTAGCATTGAAAAATTTCAGTTCTCTAGTTGTTTTTAATTCATTTGCGATAATAGTGCTTGAGCAGCGCTCTTGTTATTATTTAATTTTCATAATGATAAATGTTTTCTGTGTTTTCCTGGAAACTTTCAAAAGAGCTTAGAAATTGCGGTTTTTGAAATTCAATTCTTAGCTGGAAATGTGTTGGAAAAATAAAAGGTAATAAAATAACTAATGTCGCCAATGCCAATGAATTCGAACAGGATATTAAAACCTAAGGAACTTATCTGATGGAGCGATGGTTTTTTACAGCCAATTGATTTTCCATGTGTGTAACTTTAAAAGAGATGAATTTTTAGCAATGTAATCGTATGTAAAAGGATAATATATAATCTGCGCTGCAAAAAGGGTACAAAGTTTTAAAACATCGGTAACGAAGTGCGAGGAAATGCTTGTTTTTGCAAGAAAAATAAACAGGGAAAATGGGAAATTCACATAACAAAAACAACCTTTTTGTAATCAAGTGCGAGAATTCGGGGAAAAAACAGCAGAGAGAAATTCTACAGATTCACTGGTAAATGATCTTATGCAAATCAGCAACGAGGCTGTAAATTCCATCTGGAATAAAATGACAGATTTAGAACGGCGCTTGGCTCCAAGCCCATGCAACTCAAGCATCTTTAACAGTACAATGAAGATGTCCACCAAGAATACCAAAGAGGAAGCCTTGCAAGGCTTTGTGCACCGGCGTAAACCACCACGACGACTAAAATCCGCAACTTTGTTGTACTCGTTGGTGTTTGCAGTTGTGGGAGCAGCGCTGAGTGGCATCAGCTGTGTAAACAGTTCGCGTGCTTCCTCTTCCATTCTATCAAGGCTAAATAGTGCGCCTTGGATGCGGCCTCAGCCAGTGAACGAAGCCTTGTTTGGCACGAATCCCCTTCAAGGATGGAGAGTACCCGAAGCGAGGAATAAAGTGCCCTGCAATCCAAACCATTTGCATCGACTGAAGCTCGCAAGCATCGATTCAAGCTCACGCGAGAAATTTCAGTTGAAATTGAGCAGGGGACGAGAGAGAGATAAAATTTCGCATTTGTGTAAAGAAAGCTCCATTGGCACGACGAATGCCACTGGACGAGATGCAATCTTGTTTGATCTGATCGCGCAATATCTTCCCCTTAAAACTTTTCAGGCGCCCAAACGAAGAACCAAACTTTCCCACAACGGAAGTGTACACAAAGTTATCGAGGGGAAATCTTTTGCCCGATATGATCTTGAAACATGGGATCAAATGGGAGCATCGAATAAATATAGCATAAATATGAATTCAACGTTATGGAACAACGAAAGCTTGAGGCACGAGGAGTTATCAAATAAGCTCACGAATGAAGGCAGAGAAGCCGAATTAAAAAGGAAATATTTTCAACCGACTGACTTAACCCATCTTTCTGAAAACACCAGACTTTTACAGGGACCAAGTATAAGTCAGCGAATTCACAAGCGCTCGATAGCCGTACAAAATCTTTACACAAGGCCTGCCCCGAAAGAAATGCCTCCGCCATCAAGATATGGCCGCTACAAGAAAAAGCTTCTCTCAGGAAGGTCACGTCGTTTTGATGCAGGGGACTGTGGAGCTGGTCTTCCATCAGACTGCCTTGCCAGGCCTGGTGTCGCCCGGAAAGCCATGGCAGGCTTGAGAGGTCGCACGACGAGCCGCAGAGAAGCTGTCGTAAGAGCTTCCCTCATCAACGAGGACAGAAGCTACACGCTCAAAATGCTGCCGCGCAACCGCGTGGTCGGCCTCACTCTGCAGCCCGGCACGCAGCACAGGTGGGGCCAAGGGTGGTGGGCAATTTCCATATTTCCATTGAGCAAGTCTTATAACAAATAATAATTTTAGACTAAATTAAGGATATGTTTCTTTTAAATAAGGTAATAACTGTAGAAATTCAATAGTATGAAAATGAGTGTAGCAATCACCAATTATATTAAATATAATTTCATCCAACGCTCAAACGTATCTTTTACATTAAAAGTACATTTGTGACCCCTTTTTACATCACACTTTTTAAACTTTCCAGGTTATTGTTCCCGGTAGAGCGCTCATCAGGTCCTTTGACGTTGACAATAAGTCCCTGCGGGGACGCTCTGACGTGGACGTTAACTCGGCGCCCGCTGCCCCGGGTGTCCGAGACCCGAGAGGCTCTGCACCGAGAGGGGAAATCCCAGACGTCCGGTGACGACCAGGAACATCTGAGCGGATCATTCGGTCTTGGGGACGGCAGAGCGACACAAGAAGTGGAAGAAGATGAGGCAGCAGGCTCGAAAAAATTGGGAGTTGTGAGCAATGGAAACGCTCAGGTCGATGGAATAAACCTTAAATTTGGAATAACTGTTACGGAGGGTAATGGAGACTCTAGAAAAGCTACTAGTAGAATGGAAATAAATGCAACAAAAGATAATTTCATTAGTAGTTTAAGACCAACATTCACTGGAAATAAACAAAATGAGAAGTCAGTGGGGCGTCATGGGTTAGGAGGCATTAGTGAGAATGATGTGTTGTATGGCATGAACCCACACAATTATTCTTATTCGCAAATGGACGAATTACCCGATGATTCAGGGAGTGTTCAAGAAAAAAATGATATCAGAGACGAGTTCAATTCTATTGAGAATGAAGTCACTGCAGAGAGTTCCATTGAGAATTTTCGACAAGTTTCCAATGTAAGATTCTTTTTGGAAAAAGAACGAAAGATATCAACGAATATTTTCAGCTTGTCAAATTTAGCCTACGATATTGCAAGAAGTGATTTTTATGACAATGAACTGAATAGATTGCTTTATAAAGATGAATATGATGAAATTCTTCGTCAGAGACGAGAGAAAAGGTCAATAATCGCTGGGGGAAACCAAGATAAAAATTTTAGAGATTTACCTGCTGAACTCAAAACTGATACTCAGGCACAAAAACCTGTCCGAAGAAAAGAAAAATATCAAAGAACGATAAGTAAATTACACGAGTCTCCCATAGAAGTTTGGTTTCAGGATCCCGTTCACGAGAATTGGCTTGAGGGAAATTTCAGGGATGAGAGCGTTGGCATTTTAACATCAATAAACTTGAACGCCCGTCGGCATTCCAATAATTCAATTGTGTTCAGTCCTGTACCGAATGAACGGCATTTCCAATCGAAGCGTCTCGCAAGACGTCATCGCGTTGCTTCTCCCAAGCCGCATCCCTTCAAGATCAATGCAGTTATACCGGCAGTTTATTGGGACGAGATCAGGCGCTGGGCAGCAAAACATCCAGGCGAAGCAACTGACACTTCAAGTTATCCAGTGGCTAAAAATTTTACGGCATTCCCGTCGACTGTTTTTGGAAGAATATATCCTAATTCTGGAAAATATGATGTTAGTGTATATAAACTGCCTTCAAACTTAATATCATTAATAAACAACAGCCACACCTCTTCGGCATCACAACGAGTGACGAAAGTGGAATTTCAAGAACTTCCTTCAAATGAAATTTTTGAGAAGCAGCGGGCTGATGGTAAACAGCAATTTCTAGGAACAGGAGATAGAAATCTAGTAACCAATTCAAACATGAAGAGTTTAACAACACATGAATTTTTGCGATCTTCCTTAGCACACTCACCAACAACTCCCACTCAATTCCAATCACATTCCAATGTCGACACCAACTCTTCAATTGACGAAAATTTTAGAGGAGTTCTGTTGCCTTCAATTGAAGTCAGTCGAAGCCAGCGCGACGAAAAAGGAATTTTTGGCTCAAATAAAGAGTCAAATAAACGGGAATCGTGGAATGGAGAAAGTGATATAGACGATACATCAAATATTAACGAATTTAATAACAAAAAACCGACGCACTTACGACTCGCGCGAAGTGAAGTGAGGTCAGTGAGATCTACCGAACCTTTTGAAGCATCAAAAGCTTCTCTAAGAGAAATGATTTCCAACGCATGGAGTAAACCACGACAGATGATGCTGAACAATTGGCGATCACATCACACCTACGAATCTTCTAGTGATGGAAACATTCAACCTAGTCATGAAGCAGTGAAAAAATTGCAGTTTTCACCCGCTGGTGTTGAGCAGGTGGCAAGTCGCACGATTTGGGGGAGAGTTAGTCGCTATGACTTACTAGACAGCGGATCTGGCAGTCGAATTTGGAGCTTCTCTACACCCAACGCCTCGGCTGGGGTCTACGTTCTGACAGTAAGTGACTTACAAGTTACAATGCTTTTAAAACAGTGTGTGACTTACAGATTAAGAGACTTACAATGCTAACAAAAGTGTTTGACTTACACAGTAAGTGTCTTACCACGTAAACAAAACTCATGTGTTACTGATGGATTAGCAATACCTGATGAGAATCAAGTGAAAAAATTATAAGAAAAGGAACGAATTGGATGGGATTGTTCATAGCTGAGAAAGACAAGTTCCAAAGTATTCATTAAATTTCAGAAACGTTTCATAGAGGTTTATTTTAGAAAACGGTTTGTCATACAAGCGACCACACCAGTTTATGCAATGTACCACGCATGACAGGTTTTGATTTTGAACATTCAATAAAATTTCTCATCCTCTAGTCGTAAGCGCTCTTGGGATCCGGGCAGTGAAAGACGAACGCTGGTGATCGCTAATAGACAAAAAGCTTATCTTCAATATAAAATTTTGCAATAATAACGAGTCATATGAAGGAAACAACTTCTGTAATAAGACGCTTAACAACGATAATAATTTTCATGATTCAATAGCAACTTGTGTAGTAATAACTAGAATGATCATAATAAAATAATTTGTTATAATTAATCCTGGTTTGCAGCTTTCCTCGTCGTCCGCGTCGCCTGTGGCAGTGCAGGTGCAGGCGAGTCGCCTGCTGCACGACGCTCGTGCAGACGGCTCCGTGACAGCGATGGTGACCAACCGCCCCCGCGAGCCTCCCATGCTCACCATCAGCTGGCTCAGGTGGGCGGTGGCAGGCTCACCATCAGCTGGCTGAGGTGGGCGGTGGCATGCTCACCATCAGCTGGCTCAGGTGGGCGGTGGCAGGCTCACCATCAGCTGGCTCAGGTGGGCGGTGGCATGCTCACCATCAGCTGGCTCAGGTGGGCGGTGGCAGGCTCACCATCAGCTGGCTCAGGTGGGCGGTGGCAGGCTCACCATCAGCTGGCTCAGGTAGGCGGTGGCAGGCTCACTGTGGCAGGCTCACCATCAGCTGGCTCAGGTGGCAGGCTCACCATCAGCTGGCTCAGGTGGGCGGTGGCAGGCTCACCATCAGCTGGCTCAGGTGGGGTGCACGAAGGATAATGATAGTTCATTGGTTGTAGGATGCTCAATGGTTGCTGTGTAAGGCAGTTCAATTTACCTAATTTTTTAATAATTAGGATAGACAACAAGTAGGAAGCATTCTTGGTGGAATGTATCTTGAATAACTTGTATTTCTGAAATTACTTAAAATATAGCTATCTAATAGCTCTACCTAGCTAGCTAGCTCTTAAAAATAGCTATCTAATATACGTAATGCTAGAGCCAATCTACTGGTGTAATAACCAACACGTATTTCTCCCTCAAGCGTCTCTGCAGTTATATTTCTAGCTAATATGCTGGATTTAGGTTTGTTCCACAATATTTTTTTTCTCCCAAGCGCAAAACTTGAATTAGGTCAATTTTTCTCCGTATATTATTGCGTAGGATTATATTGCCACATGGTAATCACCATGATCTCCATGCAAAGGACTCGTGTTAAAACTTTGAAGGGTTCTTACGATTTAAAAAAAGTAAAAACAATTCTATTTGCGGTACTTTGTTTACTGGAAATACAAAAATAAATAATTGACTAAAAGTCTCTCATATTCATCGTCTAAATTGAATCCCAGTAAACGGATTTGCCATATCTCGGCTGCGCTAGTGCCTTGCAAGTGCTCATTAGTACGCAGTTCAAAAGCTCAGGCTGCTGAAAAATACTTTGTTGACATTGCAATATCGTGGGTTTGATGTGTATGCAGATCTTGCATTCCTGAGGATCGGACTGATGAATAAATTTCATGATACGTAAAAGTGCAAAATTTAGGTACAAGGTAAGATTGATTTATATTTTCCAGCCCTAGCATATCAGCTCACTAGCAAAAATCATCATTGAATCACTAGCATGAAAATAAACTTGAGTCAAGGACATCGGCTTGTGGGAAGCTAAAAGTTTACCAATAATACGAGACTTGCTGATCGCTAGCAGTTGAATTCCATGTAATATGTCCGCGCAGTGTAAGTCAGGAAACAAAAAAGGTTTCCGATGACAGTAGAAAAATTATTCATTATTTTGGTTTTTTATAAAAAATAACTTATTTATGTCCCAATGACATTGGATTCATCGAACTTTGAACCGACCGTTAAAATACCAGATTCGTAAGTCCTTCAGCGAATTTTACCGACGAACAAATTCTGGCAATTTCTGCAGAGTTGAATCGATGAAATATAAATATTTATGAATACGAGGAACTATTGCAGTTGTGAATATAAACATTAGCTTTGGAGTCTAAGTTTTATTTGCTTCGACGACGTAATAGCGATCCAGAAATGCCCTGACATGATAGACAGAGTCCACGCTTCTCTCATCAATAGACGAATTTCTCGAGTGTATTTATGCTTACAAAGTAATTTTTTGCTCCTGGCTGATGACGATCGGAATTTCGATTCCTCTGACTATTGCTCAGTTGCTGAATTGTATTGAAATAGAGGTTGTATTTATGCAGCTATTGAATACAATTAAAATTGAGTTGAGCTTTCAAAGAAAAACTCATGGCGTTTTTCTTTCTCTTGACGTTTACATATCTTTTGTATTTTCTTTACTTAGCTATTTGAAAAACATACATGTGCTGGAATATTCAGATCAAACGTCTATTTTGCGATAATATAACAGGGTTCAAAATCTGCTCGGAGTGTGAGTATTCCTGCTGATATTTCAACATCGCACTTTCCTCAGCGTATTTATCACGTACTTTGTTAAAAATATAGTAGGAGTAGTTCTTTGTCCGTACGTTGAATAATATTTTTTTTAACTAAATAAATCTCTTCAGCTGCCATTTATCTCCAAATCCACAACACGAGCCTCGGTACGCCTTAGCTCTATTGCGTGCGGGGTTGCAATGGGATCGCAGTTCTGAAATTTTTTACGCCGAAGTCATTTAAAGTTCGGTAAATCCGACAAATCGTGCCCTTATTCTCTGAACAGTTGAAGTCCTAGCAAACTTAGTCCATCAAGTGTAGGAAGGTCATCAGTCTCACCGTCAGATCCACCGCTTCAAAACTAAGTCCATCCAAAACCTGTTATTTGCCACGTACGTAGCTTGTTCATGTCGACGAATTTCATCACATAATGCCTAAAATTATTAAAAAAATTCTCCTCACATACTCTTAAGCTTAAGAAATGTATTTCCGTCTATTGTACTTTGCATAAAACATATATAACACATCCAAGTTTTTTATTTAATTGTATTGCATTTTAACGGAGTTTTCAATTGGCGAAACCTTAGATATATTTTTCGTCGAACACGATTAAGAAATTTATGACGGAAATTTGGGATGACAGAATTTATTTTGTGGTCAATTCAAGTTCGCAGTTTGACCAAGTCACGACAATTTCACCGAAAAATAAACTACGTGAAGCAAAGGATTAGGCGTCAGGATTCGAGGAAAGAATCCTTAATTTGAATTATTTTTTTCAAATTAGAAAATGTTAATAATGTTCAGCATCGTCAGGAGTATTAAATGAGAAATGCTAATTGGGGCGCGTTTTCAACCAAATTAATGCCATTTTTAAACCAAATTAATGTACATTGCTGAGAGTAAAATGTTTTTATTATTACGTAATTAATTAGCAGCTAAAATATTGTGAAATCCAATCGCATAAATTCATGCTTACCAACAACATACGTAACTTATTTATTTAATTATATTATAAATTATAATATTATATATTATATACGTAAATTATATTTTTTAATTATATACGCAAATTAAACATACGTGAAATTTATGTACGCTTCACAACCAGACACGAAGTTGTTCTGTGTGTCTGACGATGGCATCAGGGATTTAATTATCTGGCAGACCAGGGCTACGCCATTAGCACATAGACCGGAATGTAGTTTTCCCTAGAAGTTTTGCTGTTTAGAATTTATTGTCTATCTAGAGTCCCAGACAAATTAAAACTTCGGTAATAGCTGTTTAAAATTCATAAGAAGATACTTGAACTTTTGCGCGACGCGGCCCCTATTTATGAATCAGAAAAATTTAATGCAATAATAATAACACAGGAATAAAAGACCGTTCATTTTATAGGGAATTACTTTTTATTAGTGAAGTGGATCAGTGGATGTAGCACCTCAGCGACGCATTGCATTACTGACACTTTTGGTTTACTGACATTTTTTTTCGCAAGAAAGCGATTATCAACATGAGTATATAAAAGTACGTTTCTTACGCAAATTTATTACAGCACTCTACTTATTTTACAGGCATACTATTATTGCTGGTAGGGACATCGTAGTTTTGCTTTATTTCGCAAAAACATTATTATTGTATCGCGAGAATATAATGAAAATATATTCTCGTAAAATATGAACTTGTTTAAAAATTTATTAGGCTATTTAAATTGTGAATTTTGAAGCGGCTTTCAGCCCAACATATCAAGTAGCTAATATTTTTTTAGCAGTTTTTGTGTATAACTTTTAGGAACTGAAAAAGCGCACAATATTTTGCAGCGTTTTGCAAATTTTAATATTGATGGTGCTATTCCATACTTTTTATTTATAGCTTGCACTACGCCCATATGATTAGAATAAATCATTGTCATCACAAGCACGGCTTTCATAAAATTTCGTTAAATGCTGGAACTCTGCAACGAATTTAATCGGATTGCAATGACAATTATAGTTGTTCCCGTTGAATTCAAAGCAATCACTATTGGCAATTACATCAGTATAACGTCTGCAATTTCGAGTAAAGCTTTCCGTTATTCCTCTTGTGAAGGCATTGATTGAATCGCTGGTTTTTGTGCTCTGCGTCGCCTGATTGGGCGAGGGCGTAGAGGTTGAGGGGTGCGAACATAACAGTGAAGTGAGACGAGGAAATAGCGAGACGTTACAAGATCATTGTGATTTTATCTCTAAGTTCGAATTCTTGTTGAAAGTCGGGTTTTAATAAAATAAAAATGTCAAAATTTGCATCGTAAAGCCGTTTTGATCGCAGTGCAGAGCGTTCTGACTTGGTGATGCATGCATGAAATGCATCCATTCAGGCCTTCAGTTACTTTTTGAAAATTATTTTAAAGATATTAAAATAAACAATTAAATTTATTAATTAATTATTTAAAAGCGCACCTGAAGGTTATTTCCTGAGGATCAATAATATCTGTAAATTTAGAATCCCAATGTCATTAACCCGTTAATGAGAATAAAATTAATAACATTTATGTTAAGAGGAGGTCAGTTAAAACGCAAATTTTATACAGAAGACATAAAATTCCCATTTGACTCTAGTTTTCAAATCTGAAAGAAAATTTCATTTCTTTTAAACGAAGTTTATCTGTACCAATTTGAAAACTAGATTACAATTTCTGGTAGAACATTTTACTTCCAGATATGAAATGTCCTGCTATTCTTCTTCTAGGAATACAATTATTAGGTCCTGGTAATAACACTATAAGTCTTGGACCAGGCTGAACAGTTCTCACTAGGCTTTCAGCAAACACACACACTCAAGCAAACGCTGACAAGTAAATATAAGATTGTAGATTGTTTGTTGCAATTTAGACCGAGTTAGAGTGGACAAGTAATGAAATTGACTGAAGAGAGATGTGTAACACCTATGAAAGAAAAAGTATTTGATTTAACAGAGCGGTAATTTGTGTCGTGTAACTCCATTATATGGAATGGATTATTATATGTTATAGTGCAACTCCATTATATGGATAATTATTAGGACTTTCATTAAAGAAAACTTCATACTTAAATTACATCATTACTCTATAAACAGCCCTCGAATAAATAAAATTTAAATTCACAATTAATCGAGGGAATTAATATCGCGCTCGCGAGCTTGAACTTGTCCTAAAATATCTCTAATTACCTACTAATTTTCTGCTCTACAAGCGCGTTCTGGTGCAAGCGCACAAACTTAATTCTGGCGTAGATGTTCTCGGCAATATTCCAGGAAATTTAGAGCTTTGAATAGTGCATTCCAGGCTTTTAATTTTTGCCGATATTGGCACTGTAAAACCTTCTTACTTTGAATTTCACTAGGCATTGACTTCTTACATTTTTTAACTCAACTAACTCGTAAACTTAATACTTTAATAATTCTAATTTGTTGTAGATTTAAGTTACTTACTTTAGGATTGTGAGTTTGTTGTGCTTCAGCAAATATGAGCTTGATATTCAATGCGATTAAAAAAAGAAAAATGACATTGTCTATTCATTCAAGCGATTAAATTTCCATGGACAAATTATTAAAATTTTTAAAATGGCTACGTTTATATTCGTCATTTTTGTAACACAAGTTTATTTATACTCAAGACTGATAAATGAGGATAAATTGATACAAATATTTGTAACTCGACTGCGATTATTGATGACGAGCTGGCCAGAAAATCACAGTATTTTGCTAACTTTCGTTGGAAAATAATTAATGAGTGTCGCGTGGGAGTAAAATCGTTCCAATGTTTCAGTATTTTGGTTCTGCGATCTCATATCTACAGGCCTCCCTATAGGCTTCACGTTATCTCAGATAAAAAGTTTATGACCTATGCGACGTTACAATATAATTATGTAATTGCGAGAATAAATATCATGCTGAAAAATACGTGGCTGTACATTAGCAAGGTAACCAAAGACGAAATGATTTAGAATCATAATTGAGAAAGAATATATGTTGGACGCTTTAATTAGGACTCCTAGCTCGATTTCAGCATTTGAACACGTGCCATTCTATAATCTGTTAGAAGAAGCATCTTATTTCACTCAGCGAGCTTGTTTAGCTGGAACAAATATGAACAATGTAAATATAAGTATACAAAAAGCCTGATAGAGAGGGGATTTAGGAAACTTTTTAGATTTATCTTACGCTTGACGGAAATCTCTGATGAAGTAATTTGAATGGATTTCATTTTTGAGTAACTCGCAAAGTGTGTTGGAAGCAGGGGTAAGTGGAGGCGAGGAGATTTTTCATAAAATTCTTATACTCATCAATTGTTTGCTTCAATACAATAAAAGTATTTAAATATGGGGAGGTCGATGCAATGGCAGATTAGAACGCAAGATACAATTAATCATAAATTAAAATGTTTTATTCGCATCCATGTAATATTATTTATTACGCATTTATTTTCCTAGGTGTTGATGCAATCTTCTACGAGTATGTAATGAATGGATGTAATCGGCGATTGCTGTTCAATCCAACCAGTTTGCAACTGAGCAGTGAAGGGGCAAAGTTTGCTGCGGTAATATCAGTTTTCAAAACATAAAAAGTCCCTATTGCAATACTGAATATTTTTCCCAGTTACTTATGTACGAGAATTTAAACAAACAGCAATCTTTTTTATTAGTAAATTTTATGTCCTCTTGAACATTGAAGAAGAAATTTCCCAGCTGCAGCAACTACATTATCTACAAAACTACACTATTCACAAAACTAAATTATCTAACAAAATATTGTATTCAAACACTCCTGCGAAGAAACGATTAATTATGGATGTCAACTTAACGCCATTATTGCTTATAATTAATTAAACTCATATTTAACTCATATAAATATTTAAAGACATTATTGCGGCGCGTACTCGTTTAATATTTCAGTGCGCACCCCGCTTGTTCCTGACATGGGAGCCGCTGAGCAATTCTAGATGCCCCACGAGACGCACGCGCTGCTCGCAAGAGCTCGTCTCCCATAAAATATAATGAAGTGACTGTCCAGGGCACGGTTCTTATTAGGTTTGTTCGCCTCGTAAAAGAGTATTAAAGCTTAGGATGAGCTTCAATAGACCCATGCACGGCCAGCTCGTTTTATGGCAACATTTCTCTGTGGTAAACTTCTGATTTCGGCAACTGTACTGGAATTCAGACACGGAATATGTGCTAGAAACTTTTAAAGAGGTCGTCCTTTCAGCAACAAAGCATAATTTTGCGGGGTTACGGCTATGAAATCCTCGAAGGTTTATGGAGATGTGCACTGCTTGAATTCCACAGTGCTTCAGAAGCGTACGAAGACTTCTTCTGTCAGAGTACCCGATTTCAAATGAAATTTGGAGAGAGTTCAACAAATATATCATATGAAAACTACATGAGAAAATGATTTTCATAGGACTAATAAATTGAAAGACTAATTTAATTTAACAAATTCATATTTTTTAGTCTGAATTTTTCGTTCGCCATCTCTTGCCGTTGTCATGAATTAACTACCATAACAATTTGAATCTTCTGTAAAATTTGCAATTGATTTTCTTTCAGCCGTATTTATATGAATGAGATAAGGGCTTGTATTCCCGCTATCTTCTAAGGAGGGAAGATGTCATTTGCCGCTGTCGGTCGTTATCAGAGGCGAACAAAGCTGAGAAGGCCTTATCTGAAGGCAGGGTCTGATAGCTGCACAGTTCCGGGCTGGACTTCAAATGGCCGCTTTAGAAGTTCAATGAACAGAATCTCCGATGGTAATTTAATTCATAATAAATTCATTTAAGTCTAGGGTTCTAGATTGTTTTAGCGCGGATGGCCAAGACATTTCTAGTGGCCTGCAGAACAATTATTCTTTTAAAAAAAATGTTAAAATATAATTATTCACTTGATTTTTGTATTCCGCATTTTAAAAGTAGTGTGGGAACTTTCAAGGCATTGCAACGCATTATAACATTAGGTTAATGAATAATGCGAGGTGAACACAATATTAAATTTAGAAATTCGATGTTCGTTGGAGAAATTCCTACTCGAGAAATTTTGGTCACAAATAAATTACCTGAAACCGTTTTTTAGGATCAAAAAATGTCATGCTGATCTGGGTTAAATGCAACACGCGCTCAGATAGGTATGCTCCGAATAGTTCACTATCATTGATTATCTGCAGTGAAAGATTAACTTTGTTTTTCTTGAGGATTACTACCGTAAACTCGTGTCTTGGGTCATGGTTCATAAAATCTGAAGCCAAGCTTTAGCTGGAACGAATCATTTTTGATTCAGAATTCAGCTGGGAAGTTTGTCGCACTCGAGCCATTCGTTTGCAAACAAATGGGATTTAGTACGCCTCTTCGTCTCAATTTAAAAGTTCATGAGATTTTGAAGTCGTCTAACTGCACTTAAAGGAACCTCCGTGAAGTTGTTTAAAAGCAAATTTGATTCAAAAATTTCTTGTGAGCTTATGCCGCCTTGCGCCGTGTGAAGTTTAACAAAAACCTACACCGTCGAAGAAAAATAAAAATGTAATTAGTTTGACACAAATTATTCCTTTCATGACAACATGTCTTGAAGATGTTCGTTACGATTTCCATTTTTCAATCCTCTGTATGCTGAAGACTGAGGATAATGGACCAGCAGTCGTGTTAGGACATGGAGCGACAGCTTATTTATGTTTGTGAGAATAGTGCCAAATATTTGTATATGGCATATTTAACGTATAACATTAGAAGTATTATTTATATAGGAATAATATAGCAAAGTGAAACTTTTTACACTGTCTTCTCGCGCTATATGAAATTAACAAGTGAATAAGTCCTTAGAATTTACACACATGTTGGACTGCGTTTTCACAAGCGGCTAGGCTGGTTTTTTGACGAAGTTTTATCAGGGCTTGAAGCTGATCGCTCCATTGCCGCCTGCAGCCAAAAGTTAGGACACGAAAACGTGCTTTGCATCGCTGAAATTTTCCCGACCAGCACTGATCAAGCAAACGAAGGAGGATTTCCTCTACAGGCATTGACAGAAGCTAATTTTGTACGTAATTTTAAAAACATTTTTTCGTTAACCTCAATAATTCAAGTGTTTCTAAGCCGATTAAACTTAATCCAATTACCGTGAGGCTTTATGTTACCAAGCATGTGGACACACGTGTTTCTCTCTTGTCATTGGTGATGAAGCGAAATGATTGGGGAAAATGTTAATGAGCTTCTATTGGATAATTAGATAGCGTCGTTTCAGGTAACGAAGTCTGATTCAAGTAATGAGAATGTGTTCATCAGCTCATCTAGTTAATATTGTGTATACATACATTAATATCATAAGAAGCGTTTGGTGCTCTGCATATATACAACAGCAGCTTGTGCCGGATCATTCCGGATGTGATTGATATAAATAGAAAGGGATAGAATTTAGTTAACGAATAGACAATTAATGCAGGCAAATAGGTTTTATCATAGAATAATTTTTCAGAGTACCGAGTCAAGAGTACAAGTAAGGATTTAACTGAGGTTATTTTTAGAGAAAAATATCAGTGTTCAGGCTGTGTTTGAAAAGAAGGTTGGAAAGTTAAACTGTAGGAATATTATAGAACTTGTGTTTTTTCCATGATTTCTGCAATTATATAAAAATTAAAATGAAAGCTCGAATTTTCATATATAATTTTTTCCAAACAGTGATCCAGATGAGAGTGTGTTTTTTCCATGATTTCTGCAATTGTATAAAAATTAAAATGAAAGCTCGAATTTTCATATATAATTTTTTCCAAACAGTGATCCAGATGAGAGTGAAGAAAGCCACCCACGCTTCCCACGGCCGACCCCTTCATATCAACGCGAAGATGTCGTCAGGAGCGGCAACGGAACCAGCAACTCAATTGCATTTCGCGACCTTGGCAACACATTTGTCAACGATCGCCCCCTCGCTTCACAGGAGATGGCCCGAGCTTTTTCTCCTGACAGAGCGTCTAAACCTGTTAGAGGAACAGGAAGAAGATCATCAACGAGCAGCCACAAGCAGTATTGCTTGGTATTGAGCGAAGAGCAACAATACGAGTCGCTATGTCGAGCCCGAGCTTCGGACGAGCCTTCCGTCAAACTCGGCTGCACGCGCCTTACGCGCTACANGGCAGTGTGGCAGGCAGGTGGGTGCCACGTGGCAGTGTGGCAGGCAGGTGGGTTGTACGTGGTAGTGTAGTAGTCAAATAAGTGGTACGTAACAGTCAGGTAAGTGTTGCGTTAACTGTTAATCAGTCAGGGGGCTACTATGTGACCCGATGAGTCGTCGGTTGCTACATGACTATTTGTCAGTCAGCAGTGTGTTACTCTACCGTTTGGCAGTCAGGTGAGTAGTAATTTACTGGAAGGAAAATAGCAAGTTTGGTATTTATTTTGCTATAAATCAGACAACAATATATCAAACAAAATTTGAGATATTATTATAAGTTTAAATTATTTAATATTTAAATTATTACAAATATTTAAATAATTTAAATATATATATTTAATATTTAAATTATTTAAAATAATGGAAAAGATTCATCAGTCAATAAGTAATATTTACGATATTAATATTTGTTTTAAGACTTTAGGGTCTCTGTTGCCATCAGGGTCTTTGATGCCGCTGGGCCAGACGAGTCTGCGCGGCGCAGGCAGGAGCAAAGTTCCTTATCTCCGGCAAGGAATTCTCCACAAAATCCTGCTGTCAGCAAGAGGAGCTGCGACCGCAAAGTTCAGGGTGCGCAGGAACCCTCAGCGTCTGCATGTGGCGGCTGTGGCTTGCCGTGGAGGTCTTTCGATTTCGGTGCGTGAAGGAGGACCTGATGGCCTCAGGGTGGTTGAGGCTGAAGGCCGAAGCGCCCTCATCGTGTCCGTTAGACATCCTCCGAAGGGATTGCTCCACATCACAGTCACTCCATTTACCACACATTCCTCACACACGATTTTCATCGCAGCAGCGACTTCAGCAAAACGTCTTCCACTCCCAAGGCTGCCTCAGAGTTTCACAGTTCGAGCAGATGTAGCGTCGTGTCATTCCGCAACCATCGCTTGGCAATCAGCACCTGGTCGGCCAAAATATTGCGTTATGCTTGAAGAAGTCATAGGGAGGCCCAAGATTACTTGGCCACCGATTCAGTGTGGCTGGGAACGTAAATTAGCCGACCCTTCTACTCTGGCGCACTGTAGTCCAGGATATAAAGGAAAGAGACAGACTTGGCAGTTGCTGGGATTAAAAGAGGACACAACATATTCGGTCACTGTACTCATCACGCACCAGATCTCGAACAGAACGCTGTCTCTCGCACCCTCTGTGTTTTACACCCCACCTTGTTCATGAAAATGTCCGTAAAACATCTGGACTCACAATTTAACGAGTCTCCATATTCCATTCAACAAAGTTCGAGGAAACGAGACATTTTTCCAGAGTGACCGTCAGTGATGTGAGAGAGCTCAGTGCCGCAACGCCAACAATACAGTCTCCTGAAGCAGGGAATTGATGACTGACAAAACACTCGAGGGCTCCGGTTTCTTTACAGCTTCGAGCAAAATGAAACGCTCTCGCAGGAAACTTTTTCCTAAATTGAAGTGAGAATACGGATTTTGAATACTGGAAATCGTTGCTCTCAATTCTCGGTCGTTGATGTTAATCACTTCCAGCTCGGAACTCAAAAACATTCAATCCGAATTTCAAAATCGATTCCGGGAAATACACATTGAAAAAATCTTTTATCACTGCGGAATAAATTAAAACTGTTAACTGTACTTTATTGCACTGGCGATTGAAGATGCAATATAAATAAGTTAATTGCCGATTAATTTGGGAATAAACTGATATCCAAAATATTTAATTGTTCATTTCTCGAATCATTTATAGTTGAATAAAATTACTTCACAGCAAAATGCGTTTCATTCATCCCAACGAGTTTATTACACTGCATCATTGAGCAATGAGAACCGATGTGAGGGTAATCTACCATTTAATTTGATGAGGACGTAAATGGAAACTCTTCCTGAATAAATCCCACGCTGCATCAATTTGCGTGTAATCGAATTTTGTGATTCCTTTGAGCTACGACGTTCAATTCCACATCACGCACGTAGGCGCTGCTCATAGATGCAAACTCTACGGGGCAAACCCGCGCTAGTTCATTTTGTCTGCTTTTAAATATATAATCATGGTGAGGAGGAACCATACCTTAATGGAACCATACGCTTGGGAGTAAAGTTGTAGCATTTGACTGCTTATGTTAATGGATAGAAAATTTATTGTTCTTTGCTAAGAAAAATTTTAGGATCATGCAGCGCTGATATTGAGCAGGTGACAATCGCGTAGTTATATATAAAGAAAGATGATATTTTGAGCGCATGAATGAATATGTACAAATAAATATTGTATTCTTGACAAGCATTTTAGTTATAATTTACTATGTATTTCTGTTCTTTTCTGCTCCATTAAATATTGTAATTATTTCAATATTCAACTGGAACCCTGAAGAAATATTCATCAAGGCTTCTTTTATACGAAACTGATTTCAACATACTGTATATTTAATTTTTAATAATTCAAACCTAATATATTGAGCTCTTTATTTTCTTCATTCTTTAGAATTCCAAATTTTTCCCGAGAAAACTTCAAAGTTAATTCGACAATCTAGCCTACATATAATACATGCAAAACTTGACTGATACGAATATTGCAAGAATTATTCAGTACGAACATTCAAGGAGGAATTGGTGCTGTGACTCACGAATGTCAAGTTTAGAGTCTGAGTCAAGCAGCAAAGTTGTTCGCTTACCGTCCTCTAAGGCCGTAAAATGCGGGATTTAGCTTGGCATTTGACGGAGTAAAGCACCTAGTGGGAGCCGTTAGCATGGCTGTCACTTCGTTTGCTGTGCCCTGCTATGGCACCAGCAAATAAAACTTACCTGCTTTTGCAGCGACATCGCAATAACAACAGCATGCTTCAACGTACACCCAAATGGTCTGTAGTTTTGACTTTGAATGATGTTTAGAATTTGTTGATACCTTTTTAAACAAAGAAACTCTATTCTTTTAAGAAGGTTACTTCAAGTAATCCAGTAAGCATACAAATAACAAGCCCTAACTTTTAATACTGCATTGATTTAAAATTTTTAGTGGGCGCATTAGCTTAAATTTGAAAACACTTTGCTTCGAGCAAGGATTATCGAACTCATTTGTCAAACATGTTGAATATTACCGCCCACAATTTTTCTTACTATAAAAGGATATTTGTCAGTAATCTGATTTTCATTGGATTGGAGTTCATTCACTGTCAATGCTGTAACGTTCAAGCTTTACTTTTTACTTTAAGTCTTTTGTAATGGCTTAACCTGGACTTTTATATTGGAATAAAATCAAATGCTCATTCCGAGACTTAAAAATCAAACCGACTCTATTGAAAATCAGTTAAGATCAAAGAAGAGGCATGACTATAAATTGAGGTGTGAAGATCGACTTGAAAATCAACGAAACGAGAATTGATTTTTTTTCTTAACGAACGAATAATTTGGAATTTGTTTTTCTTAATCAAAATTTGATAAACTGGTCTCTAAATTCTTCATAGAACAATTTTTCTCTATTGCTGCTTTTTTAGATGTCATATAAAAGAGTTGATAGTCCTTGTAAAATATCTTTATATAAAGCATGTCGCTGTGGGCGGGTGAAAACATTTGGAGCAATTATTTACCGGACTTTAAAAATGAAAAATAAAATTCTTTAGTAAAATGAAATATGTTCAAAGTGAAAGGCTGTAAAGGGGTAGGAGAGTATTGTAAAAATGACTTGAATATTGTTCTCTCAGTCCATCAATGATCTGGCCGCGTAAATTTTAAATGCTGACAAAAACTTTCGTATGCGATTCATGTTCAAAATATGCTATTTGAGCACCTAAGTCTTAGATTACCATTCCATGATAATGTTTATTTAAGTAAAGTGGTTATTGAGAATGTTTTGCCTGAAATGTTTCATTAGACGAGTTCTTAAATTTTCATTTGACTTCTTTGAAACATGGAAACTTTCCAGAAAATGACGAATTTCGGCACACATACCCAAACTTTGCACGTAGCGTCACCTTCAAAATTCTGGACCCATTCTTCAATGTATTTTCTTTGTAAGAAAATAGGCTATATAACCAAACATTTTTTTGAAGGCAGTGTGAAGGTAATTACTCTCAATAAGCCTCTTGCACGAGGCTTTGAACCATATTGTAGAGAGGAGAGTTTGAGGCAGCGAAGATTATTTGGTAGCCTTGCAGCTTGGAAGTCTTGACGCTGTCGACGTTGCTGGTACAAAGTCTGGAGCTAATTAGTTGTGGACAAACTTGCTGGTGTTGAAATTGTGTAGAAATGTTACAAGTATACAGAGGCAAGTACATAAATAAAGTAAGCAGCTGGTACAAGTTATAATACACCAGGTACATTACTATGTTCAGGTGTAATTACATGTAATACTCAGTCAGGTAGTGGTATAAATTAGGGTGAAGTTACAAATAATACTAGAGTAGGTAAATTGATACATAAAGGTGCAGGTGCATGTAACAATGACGCATATACAGTATTCTCGTATATTGATGAATTGATGAATTAAGAGTACAGTTTTTTCTCAATAGCAAAACATTAAAGAGCCCGAAAATATAAACAATATCTGCTTGGGAATTCAAAATAAATCTATTTTTACTGAACTTCAGGGTTAGGCTGACAAAAAAAAGTCGGTTTTATGAACGTTAACAAGTATACTAGACGTTAGCTTAGACAAAGAATTATCTTTTCCTAAAATCATAAAATTATGATATTGATAATTCGCATAAATAACTGTCCAAAAATAAAGGGTCGGAAAAAAGAGGTTGCTATCATAAACGAATTTCTTGTGGCGCTAAACTCAATGAAAAATAGAACGCTCGGGCTGCTAAACGATTAATCTTTTGGCTGAGCTAATTCTTTTCCTAGGAAAATTTTTGATGCCGATAATATATGGCTTCCTAATTTTTAAGCAAAAATGACTGATGAAGTACGGTTAGTTTTACCGATCAAAAAAGAGTAAATAATTCATTATCAACACATCTCATCTGAATTACTAAAAAATCCGCTCTTATTTATGCCCAAATGATTAACAATACAATGAAGAAATTCTACAACTGAAATTTCAAAGACTTTTATTTTTTTTCAAGCGTTCTTGTAAAAAATGACAAAACTAAAACTTGAGTCCAATCGTCGATGGGTGCAAAAAATTGTACAGCGATGCTACATATGGAAAAATATGGAATGATAAACAAAAAAAACATGATGTTCAACAATCTCTGATTGTAATTAGTTATGCATCGGAGACTGGACATTACCAACGCAGTGTACTGCTTGGGGGGAAAAACGTCGCGGTGATGAGGGGAGATGTCAATAATTCACATATACACAAATTAACAAATTAGTAGCTAAATAACTTCCATTAGTGGCTCTGAATAGCGCAAAATCATAGACGCATCGTAATCGTGTGACAATTTGCCATTCAACGGCTAAATGAATTTATGCATAATTTTCATGATAATATTTTATTAGATATAAGCTTCAAAGCTACTCTCAAAAATTAGAAAATTATAATGTGTTCTTATATTCTGACGTATCGGGCATCAATTACAGTGGAATACTGCAAACGACAAACAATGTAATGTGAAATTATCGTAAAAATGGACCGATAGCTGTCTGCGTTGATAACCTGTGTTTATTAAATAATTTTAATGCAAAAATGGTATCTGTAAACGTCAAAGATGATACTCTTTATAAGTTAATTAAATGGAACTAATCGGGTTCTCATGCCAGCGATCGCTTGCTCGTGCAGTCAACGCTCTTATCGACTGTTGTGCGAGACATGCATTGAGTGATAACATTAATGATAGTACGTATAAGGAAGGGTGAATTGTGAATGCCTTTTAATGAAGGAATAAACAGGAGACTTCATATGTTCATATGTAGCAAAGGATAAGTTCAATCCATTTACTTTTGAAGCGATCGGGGGAAATTTCTCAAAGCAAAGTGAGATCTCATATCAACTCGAGTGGCTTCCATCTAAGCGTGTTGATTGTAGAGGTTGTTATTACAGTGAAATGAACAGCAACGCGACTGGCAACAAAGGGTTTATCAACGAGTAATGCTCCATACTTGATCTGCAATGGATGAGAAGAGCGTCGTCTCTTTGTATGACGACTAACGTAATTATGCATTATAACGCTATAGAAGCTCTTCAGTTATCTCTCACAATGATCTCCACTGATAAACCTACTATTAGCTAATATCTTATATCATATAAGCACATCTGTTCCATCACATAAGCTCTTCGATTTTACCCCACTTTATCGTTCTGTTCTGTATATACCGGAATAGGTGCCAGCTTTTGATGGGAATTTATTAGTGCTTTATACAGTTTTTTTTGGTCCACTGATATTAATGAAATTTAATCGCGTTCTAAGATTGAATATTTGTGATATACGGTGTAAGATGTTAGAGGCTGAGTTACACTTGGACGCCTAGAAATTATTATAAAAATTAACGATGTCAGAGGTTGCGGTAGAATTATTTGACCAACAAATTAAACGAATAAAAAATCTGTGAATATTCAGCGTTGAAAGATTTTGAATAAATTTTACCTAAGTTTTAATCAGTTAATGAAAGCTGACTCAAAAATTCTACACAAATGAATTTCTCATAAAACAATTTGAGGAATCCGATTTTAAATAAAATTTGTGAGATGAAAAATTTCAATCAGTAGCGCTTTACTTTCCAAGTCAGTGAACAAATCCACCTCCACTTCACTCCTAACACAATCATTGCCAAATATTTTCTCCTCAAGCA